CTAATATATAACTATGTATATGTCTATACAATAACTTGGATAATATGGGTCACCATTGCATTTAATGACAATACAATTGTCGAATACCTGTAATATATATGTTGTATAGTATATTTTAAATAAAAATATTCATTCAATAGATAGTAATGTATTCAAAAGATGTGATGAGCACAAGTTTGATTTTTATTATTATTGTCTACATCATCTTGTGAGTGAACAAGTTTATAGGGCATCGATAGGGATCATTCAAGTAATATTATATAAAAATATTTATTTGTATAAGATGGCTTGAATAATTTTAGTCCAATAGGAAGGTTTTAAATACTGCCAACAGAATCAGTCCCATGTTTCTATTGGATTTCGCATTACATTCCATCCCAAAAGGTATCCTCACCCAGGCAGAGTTGGGCTGCCTTCTCAAACCCGCCTCAACTGGTCTCATCAGCACCAGGACTCGAGCCCAGGATCTGGTAGGGCAGAGTACAGACTCAACACGGTCATCAGTCCCTTTGTGTCATAGGGAAAAAGGGAATTTCAAAGAAGGCTAGGCTTTGGCAAAATCACATTTCTGTTCACACGAAATATATTGAACCAGAATTAATATTTGGCTAAGTTGTGTTTAGAACTGCAAACTATCTATTAAATGATATATATATATATATTTATATATTTATATTTATATATTTATATATTTATATATTTATATATTTATATATTTATATATTTATATATTTATATATTTATATATTTATATATAGTTAAATAGTAATTAAAAGTAAAATAGACCTGGTTTGTCTTGAAAGCGACATCGGCTCCGGACAATAGTGACTGCAAATGAGTGTGTGTGTGTGTTAGTGTGTGTAGCTGGCGGGTTCGAATCGTGTTGGGTGTGCTGATGAGATCCGGGCAAGGGTGAAACGACAGTCAATCCCGGAGGAGTAGGTCTATTTGAGGATAAGGATGGCCGAGATGCGACCGGCTATTCTTGTTGTTGCATTCAATTCCAACAACCCGTGCTACCGCTTTCAGCTGACTCATGTTCTCAATTGGTACCATCTTGCCTCTTCGGCGTCGCCCGAATTGCTGAATTCGCCAGTCTTGGCGTCTCGTGCCAACTGCTCGGCCGGCGCCACCAGCTTGCAGCAGGTCTCTTGCCGGCACCAGCCTCCTTGCTCCCCTCCGCAAGCCTCCTCCGAGTGCACTGAGCCGGTTTAGATGACGTCGAGGAGGGTGGCAACAGTCGAAGGTGGCGAGAGGGAAAAGAGCGCGAGAAGCGCTGGTATTGGGCAACCTTTGTTGCCCAAAGTCACGACGAAGGTGTGATTATCACGCCCTAAACGCCTCGCAAACAGCCCGTCAGGCGGAATGATTGACGCGACTGTTTATCCCAACGCCTCGACTGTCACTCAGCTGAGCGGACGATGCATGCAAATGTGGAAGACAACAGAGCGGAGGAGGCCGGCAGCAATCTTCAGGCCGTTTCAGACAAACCATGCCAACACAGAGTAGCCATAGCGATCTCGTCAACGGATGGCCAACGTCTGACGACGAGCCGGTGCAGAGTTTGTCCCATCCAAAGCAACCAATCCTACCGGATTGCAAGTCTTTTCGTATTTATTTCGATAAGAATGTATTTCGGAAATAACTGTACATCTTCAATAAGCACTTTGTCAGCCTAGGTTGTTTTAAGGTGACTAAATGCCTTACATTTGGGACATAATCACATAGTTGGAGAATAAATAGTCACTTTAAGTGACTAATTGCTTATTCAAGAATTACTAACATTCAAGAAAACTACTCATATGTAGTATGAGTAGCATCGTCGATTGCAGAGCGGAGGATGCCGGCAGCAATCTTCACGTCGGTTCAGACAAACCATGCCAACACAGAGTAGCCCTGGTCACTTTAAGTGACTAATTGCTTATTCAAGAATTACTAACATTCAAGAAAACTACTCATATGTAGTATGAGTAGCATCGTCGATTGCAGAGCGGAGGAGGCCGGCAGCAATCTTCAGGTCGGTTTAGACAAGCCATGCCAACACAGATTAGCCCTAGCGATCCCGTCAACGGCTGGCCAACGTCGACGACGATCTGGTGCAGAGTTTGTCTCATTCGAGGCAACCAATCCTACCGGTTTGGAAGTCTTTTTGTCTTTATTTCGATAAGCATGGATTTCGGAATTAACTGTAAATCTTTAATAAGCACTTTGTCATTCTAGGTTGCTTAAGGTGGCTAAAGAACTTACATTTGGGACATACTCACATAATTGGAGAATAAATTGTCACTTTAAGTGACTAATTTCTTATTCAAGAATTACTGACATTCTCGAAAACTACTCATATGGTGTATGAGTAACATCGTCGATTGGAATGAAAAGCGAATGCTTGTTTAATTGGCAATTATGGCAACATAAAAATGTGATACGAATCGTCTCGTGACTTTGGGCTCATTCTTTTTTAACTAGGGATTCTCTCTTCTATGTTTCCTTTTAATGCTTTAAGAAGGCAATCTGGGGGCAGAAGACATGTTGAGGAGGCTGAGCTTGAGCGAACGCATAGCAACATAAGAGGTTCCTTTGTCCCCAGAAAGTGGCCGCTTTAGACGAGTTTATTAAAGCTATAATATTTAGTAAAAAATACACAATAATCTAGTGTGACCCTACATTTAGCGTAAAAACATTAACTTCTCCTTTTTATCCTATTCCTCTACCCTCTACTCTTTACTCTTCTACGCGATCTTCTTTTTTCTATCCTCCTCTGCCTTCAATCCTTCTCTTTACCTTCTCTTTGCCCTCCTTTTTTTTCTATTGCATCTCTTTCCCTTCTTCTTCTTCTCCTTATCCACTTTCCCTCATCTTTCTCATCCTCTTTTTATCCGCCTCTTCCTTCTCCGCATACCTACCTTACCTACTCTCATCATACTATTAGTTATTTGCCCATACCAATTCATATTCCCCATCTTTTCCTCCATCTACCCCTTTCTCCTTCTCCTCCTCTTGTTCCTTCAATTCCTCTTCCTACATTCCCTTCCACTCTCTCTTTCCTTATCCTTCTCCTCCTACTTCTTTTGCTTGTCCTTCTCTTCATCTTCGTCCTCTTCACCTTCCTCCACTCCCTCATCTTTCTCCTCCTCCACTTTTTCCTTTTCTTTGTCCTCTTCCTTCCGCTTCTCCACCTCCTCCTTTTCCTCCTTCTTTTTCTCCTTTCCACTCTCCCCCCGCCCTCTTCTCTTTCCATTTTTCAACAATCTCCTTATTTACCATTCAGCCGCCATATTTTGTGTTGATAAGGTAATCTCTCAGCAGTGTCATGTCATGGTAACTGCTCTACATCTTGGGCCAGACAGCAAATAGTTTTTTAATCATCGCTCGCTACAAAAGAATACGGCAAAATGAACAAGAGTCTAATTGAATGGAGCAAGCAGTAAATGAGTGGTTGCTAGGCCTGATGGGCCAGACTTTTGCTGACAGGTTGCAATACCGACAGATATGCGTCACAGCAATTGTCTGTGCAAATGTTTAGTTGTTTTGCCTAATCGAAGTGTACGAGGCTGGAGGAAGGATTGTGTCGTGTATCTGCGGCAGAATCT